GACTCCAACTCAAAAAAAAAAAAAAAAAATCCAAAATGTGCCTGCCCTTGCTATTTAGCTTCTAGGAAGTTATCCTGTGGAATAGATATACCCAGAATTGTACAAAAAGAGACATGGAGAATGATGCTCATCACAACATTGCTTATAGTAGTATAAGACTTAAGATAACTCCAGCTGGGCACAATGGCTCATGCCTGTAATCCTGGCACTTTGGGAGGTGGAGGTGAGAGGACTGCCTGAGCCCATGGGTTTGAGACCACCCTGGGCAACATGGCGAGAACCTGTCTTTACAATAAATTAAAAAATAAGCTAGGTGTGGTGGCATGCACCTATAGTTGCAGCTACTTGGAAGGCTGAGGTGGAAGGATAGCCTGAGCCCAGCAGGTTGAGGCTGCGGTGGCTGTGAGCGTGCCGCTGCACTCCAGCCTGGGCGACAGAGTGAGACTCCAATTCAGAAAAAAAAGACAACTTTAATGTCTATCAATAGGGAGCTGGTCAAAATTATTGTGGTACATTCATACAATGGATTAGGATGCCACTGTTACAAAGATCAGGTGAGATCTAGATATGAAAAAGTCTCCAAAAATAGAATACTTCCCAAAAACCCTCCAAAACTAGAACATTTAGCTAAAGAGAATACCCACTACATACTCACACTCAAGCTGGGATTGACAAAAGAGTTTTATTTTTGTAGAAAAAGATGATGTATGTGTGATGTTTATGTGGGCAGAGCTAAAGATCTAGAAGAATATTCACTGGCACTGGTTAGTATCTCTAGACAGCAGGATCCAGGGGATGAAAAAGAACTTCCAGCTTTAACTCTGACAGTTCAATTTGTTCGGGTGGCTGAACACACAGGAGAATTTTTAATTTTTATTTCTATTACTGTTGTTTTTTACAACAGTTAAGCAAGACTCCTGGTGACAGAGTTTCTGTTGGCGATGAAAAGTTCTGAAAACAGTGATGGATTGTTATGCAACATCATGAATGTACTTAATGCCACTGAATTGTACAATTAAAAATGGTTAAAATGTGAAATTTTATGTTTTTTCTTTCTCTCTATATAAAATCACAAGTTAAAAAACTTTTAACAAAGGGGGAAAGTGGATGAGGGGTATACGGGAACTCTCTGCACTATCTTTGCGACCCTTCTGTAAGTCTAAATTTATTTAAAAACAAAAGATGTATTTAAAAAAACACAAAAACACTTTCAAGGGCCCAATTATCTTTCTTACACTTGTGTAGAGGTAAAAATCCATTTATTTTATTTTATTTTATTTTATTTTATTTTGAGTTGGAGTCTCACTCTGTCGCCCAGACTGGAGTGCAGTGGCCACTCCCCGCCACTGCAGCCTTGACCTGCTGGGCTCCGGCGATCCTTCCACCTCAGCCTTCCGAGTAGCTAGAACTACAGGTGTGTGCTACCACGCCCGGCTGATTTTTTGATTTTTTTGTAGAGATGAGGTCTCGCCAAGTTGCCCAGGCGGGTCTTGAACCCGCGGGTTCAGACAATCCACTCACCTCAGCCTCCCAAAGCGTGGGATTACAGGCTGAGCCACCGAGCCCGGCTGTATTTTATTTATTTATTTATTTATTTATTTTTGAGTTGGAGTCTCACTCTGTGGCCCAGGCTGGAGTGTACTGGCACACTCAAGGCCACCGCAGCCTCAACTTGCTGGGCTCAGCTTTCCAAGTAGCTGGAACCACAGGTGCACACCACGACGCCTGGCTAATTTATTTATTGTAGAGACAAGGTCTCGCCAAGTTGCCCAGGCTGGTCTCGAACCCCTGAGCTAAGGCAATCCTCTCATCTCTGCCTCTTAAAGTGCTGAGATTACAGGTGTGAGCCACTGCACCTGGCAAAAATCCATTTATTTTTGTGAGTATAGCTTAAAACAGACAGGTAATTTCAGCTATGGCAACTATCTTCTCAAATAACGGTAGAAAATGTTCTTGCCATCCTGTTCATAAGTTTTTTTGCCCCATGTTTAACATCTTTGGCCTTTAATTCCTGCCCAAGGCCAGAACATGTAACATCTCCAGCTTAGACACAGTCTCTTTCCTAACTGCCCGTTTTCAGCCACCATGGCTCAAAGAAACTATAGACTCTGGACACAAAGAAACTGCTTTCTACAGGCAAACATGGAAGACATCTGCATGCAGTCATCAAGAGAGAGCACTGAAATCCACATGGCATCCATCTGTCATGAAACATTGCATTTTTATTAAATAAAAAGTTGCAGTAAGTTTGTTTCTTAGATAGGGAGACCCCCTGGAAACCTGGTCACACATACCCTTGAAAACAGAAACAAGCCGGGCTCGGTGGCTCAGCCTGTAATCCCGTGCCTTTGGGAGGCTGAGGTGAGTGGATTGCCTGAGCCCGCGGGTTCGAGACCCGCCTGGGCAGCGAAACCTCATCTCTACAATAAATCAAAAAATCAGCCGGGTGTGGTAGCGCATGCCTGTAATTCCAGCTACTTGGAAGGCTGAGGCGGAAGGATCGCCGGAGCCCAGCAGGTCGAGGCTGCGGTGGCCGGGAGCGGCCACGGCACTCCAGTCTGGGTGACAGAGTGAGACTCCAACTCAAAAAAAAAAAAGAAAACAGAAACATAGGAATGAAGGAAATTTTGCTACCATAAAATGACTAATTTAAAGAACAGACCGATTATACCTACTTTCTTTCCACAGACTGCTTTTCTTTTAGAAGATCATTTAGTCTGTGCTCCAGATTATCACATTTCTCAATCGTTTCTTTAAATTTGGTCTTCATGTTGTTAATCTGAAAAGACAAACAGAGACTAGATTCATTTCACAAAAGCAAAAGTGTATGATCTTTGGGGCTAATGTCATAATTCCCCCCCATCAATTATCTGTACATAACTTTGATAAACCAAACTTAGAAAAAGATGAGACAATCAGTTGAAAGAATGTCTGTAATATGAATAAAAATGTTGAGAAATCCTTCCTTTCTCATTATTTCTCTATACCAGAACGAATAAGGGATCAGGAGCTGCTAAACGTTAAGTAAAATTGCTGGGAAGTAAAGCTTCAGACACCAGAGCAAGAACCTCTTTTAAGAAAAAAAAAGAGACGGGATCTTGCCATGTTGTCCAGGCTAGAGTGCAGTGACTATTCACAGGCACATCATTCACTTTTTCTTCTGATTCTATGTACCAAAAATTATCATCTTTGGGTCATCTGAGAAATTGTGATTGCTGATTCTAGATGTTTGTTTTTCCAGACTCATGATTTTCTCATGTGCCATGAAGCCGTATGGAATAATATAAGCAGTCCATGTCTTCTTCGTTTATTTATAAAGCCACTATATACAGAACTAATTCATATTACTTGGTCTTAACAACTTAGGAGAATTAAAACCTTCTGGTGCATTACGTGTCAGATGGAGTAATCCTAGCCAAGGGTATGCTGGAGGCTACCTAGGGAGACCCTGGATTGACCCAGGTATGAAGAGCTACAGCCCTGGAAACTAACTGCCTCAACTCCGCTGGTCTCAGAACATCAGGAGAAGACGAGATGTGCAGGGGACATGGAGAGGCTGGGGGGATCGTGACTTCTGGACTAGATTAAACTCTCAGCAGAGCTTCCGTCTGAGACGTGTGCAACATCCATCATGGCAGAGAAAGGGTCTTTATGTTGCCATCTCCGCTTTTAACCTTTCTATTTAAACATTTTCCATACAGCTTACCTATTAAGTATCTAATATAACTGCCTTAAAAAAAATAACTCAACTTAAGCAATATAATGAAACTTGCCTCACAAAAAAATTAAAAAGGAAAATAAAGTAGAAAACAAATAACTGTTTTGTAAACATTAACTTTATAGCCAACTTCATTAAGTACAAGAACATGGAAAAAAAATCATAAAAAATCAAAATAGCTTTAAAGTTGTTCTAGTTTTAGTTTGGTATTAATTTTTCTTGAATATTAGTTTAAAATAAGAGATCAGGCTGGGCACAGTGGCTCAAGTCTGTAATCCCAACACCATCAGATGCTGCTTTTAAAGTTGCCTTTTTTTTTTGTGAGAAAGCAGGATTTATTGAGAGGACAGAAAAGGTCCCACAGTGGGAGGGGACCTGAAGGGGCTGCCCCTAAAGTTGATATTTTAAAACAACAGTAAAGAGTGACACACTGCCAGGTGCAGTGGCTGAAGCCTGTAATCCCAGCACTTTGGGACGCCGAGGTGAGAGGACTGCCTGAGCCCAGGGGTTTGAGACCAGCCTGGACAACTTGATGAGACCTCATCTCTAAAATATATATATTTTAAAAAATTAGCTGGGCATGGTAGTGCACGCCTGTAGCTCTGGCTACTTGGAAGGCTGAGACGGAAGGATTGCTGAAGCCCAGCAGTTCGATGCTGGGGTAGCCTGAGTGTGCCACTGCACTCCAGCCTGGGTGACAGAGTGAGACCCTGACTCAGAAAAAAAAAAGAATCAAATACAATACACTTGAATATATACATGCTAATATTTTACGTCTATCCTATTCTATCTAATAAAAATGCCAGTTGTGGTCCTTCTGGTCTGGAATCTCCAGTCTTTTCTACTCCTCATCCTCACTCAATTAAAAAAAGGTTTCAAACTCATTTCAGAACCCCCAGAGGGAAAAACACTGATTTAAAAGGTGCTAGATGTCCAAAGAGAGCGGTCCCTTCAGGGGGCCTCACCTACGCTGACTGCCTACTACATGTTGTTCACACGTGGCTCCACGAAAACTAAGACGCTCCGAGTGGCTGTGAGCTTCATCTTCGAGAAGAGACTCCATTCACATGTTCTAATAACTGCATTACCTAAGGCACTAGGGGAAAGAAACAGCATTCGTAGCTGAAGTCTCCAGTAAATTTCAGCCTTGATCCACTCCCCTCCTCCACACTAGCTTTCCATGAGGCCCATGAACAAGACTCTGCCAGTGAAAGCCAGGGTCTTGGTGACTGTTCCTCCCTGGACATGTTCTGTTGCAGGCACTAACAGAGGACTCGTCCAAAGGGAAGACTGCAGCAGGACAAAAGGCTTGCATCATCCATTTACTTATGGATAGACAACACTTGTTATTAGGAAACAAAAGCATCCTTTCAAGCTCTTCAAGCTTTTTAGTATGAGCTGCTCTGGCCTCCATTTTACCCCTACCTAAAAGCAAACACGAGTTTTGGCAGTTTTTCATTTTCCTGCCCCTTGACTTGCTTCATGCTGGCATGTCCTAGGGAGTGCAGCTAATCCGGAAGGGCAGAGAATCCTGAGCTTAAGCTGTGCAGGGTCTGCATGGAGCCCCTGAGGTGGTCATGCTGGTATATCCCACAGAAAAACCCATGAGTGCAGCTGCAGCAGTTGCAGAGCTCCATGCACCTCCCATGAGCCCACGACTCGACTCAAGGCAGCCACCCGGCTCTCCCTCTGCTGAGTGCCAGCCTCACCACACGTGCTCCAATCAAGCCCTATTCAGAACTATAAGTCAAGTGACCTCGAGCGCCTCTTGGAAAGGCAATTGCATTGCTTGGAAGGTTCTTATAAGAATGTCATCAATACCTTTTAACTAAAAATCATTTTAAAGCTGGTGTTAAGCGGTGCTTTTTAAAAACCCTGATTTCTCCCATTTATAGGCATACCCAGAAACTGGGTCCATGGCCTTGCCTGCTAAGCTCTGGGATAACCCTAGGAACCTCAGGGGTGGGCCTCAAGCCTGGCTCTGCAATGCCCATCTTAAGGCCCAGGTATCAGTGAATATTCACAAAGTTACTGAAGTCATCATTTGGAAATTTTACAAGCCTTTATTTGCTTAAGAGAATCAATGAATTATAGACACTGACCCTAGGTCCAAAGAATTGATCCCAGAGTCCTAATTATACACAAACCATCAGGGGCACATTGGTTTTCAAATAACCTTTTTTGGAACCCTCAGGGTTCCTTGAACATGTTGGAGACATGAAAATGGAGCAGGTAGAGCTCTGGGCCTTCTATTCAGGTTTCTACCCAAATCATACCACTTTCTCTTTTATTATGTCAAAGTAGTGAAGCTCTTTTTTTTTTTTTTTGAGAAAGCAGGATTTATTGAGAGGACAGAAAAGCTCCCACAGTGGGTCCCCTCGACCCAAGGGGGTTGCCCGAATGGCTCTTCTTTAAAGGACTGTTTTGTTAAAATTTGAAAACTGCTGTTCTAGACCTTCAGGAGAACACCGAAGCCTATCATCTCTGCCCAACTGTATCTCCTTCCATTTAGAAGGGCTCAGCATCACCTCATTGCCTTAGAAGTCCACGTCTGGCTCCCAAAAGCAGCTGTGCCCCCGCTGACAAACCAACTGGCTGACTCAAATTACACACCCTCATGTACATACTTCTATTTTCTAAATAGAAATGGAATTTCACAAGGCACTGGAAAACCAGATTGAGGTTAAAAAACAAACAAAATTCCTTAAGACCCCCAAAACCAAAACACTAAATTAAGCCTTTAAATCCAAGGTTTCTTTTTAGAGGCAAAACAGTTCCCTACTTGTTGCCACACCAAGGAAGGAAGACTGTGTTCCTGTACTCTGCCTTCCCTCACCCTGCCATCGGACTGCCCTGCCACGTGGCAGCTCAACAGTCACCAAACCAGAGACTTACTTCCTCTGCTGTGTCCTTCTCAATCCGGACTATCTTGTTTTCCCAGTAGATTCGCTGAGATTCCAGCTGGCTTGTTAGTAAATATGAATACTAGAAACATAGAAAACACAAAAATGTAAATTACTGTTATCAGTCTCTGAAATCCAGTGAAAAAGCCTGACCTTTAATGATCTACACAAGACCAGAAGTAACCATCAGAATTTACATTACACCCTGGTTCTACTCTGAGATTCAATGAGCACTGGGCTAGGTGACACACAGCTACAATTATACTCCTGCCCTCCTGGCATTTATAATCTAATCAGGAGAAACATACATTTAAAAAAACTTGTTCTCATCAGGCTGACTTTAAGAACTAGAGTGACTTTAATCTGTGTTTAACTCAAACCAACTCATCTATCTCCCTGACTCCAGGGAGCTGTCCTGCCCCTCCCAGCCCTTGGGTTAAGTGCCCCTCAGCTCCCTAAGTGCTATGCTCATAATTTTTTTTTCTGAGTTGTAGTCTCACTCTGTTTTCCAGGCTGGAGTGCAGTGGCACACTCATGGCCACCTCAGCGTCAACCTGCTGGGCTCTGGCGATCCTTCCGCCTCAGCCTTCCAGGTAGCTGGAACTACAGGAGCGTACTACCACGTCCGGCTAATTTTTTGTATTATTATAGAGATGAGGTCTCGCCAAGTTACCCAGGAGGGTCTTGAACCCGTGGGCTCAGGAAATCCACTTGCCTCGGCCTCCCAAAGTGCTGGGATTACAGGCTTGAACCACCGTGCCTGGCCTGTGCCCACTATTAATAACACTCAGGACACTAACGCTTCATCACCAGCTTACCTGCTAGGCTGTGAACTCTTTGAAAACAAGGATTATATTTTTATTGCTGTATCTCTAGTGCCTGGCACAAACTGGATGTCAAGAAGTGTTTTTTATGTGACTGCATGAATGCTTGAACAGTGCTGTGTAACCACAGGGAAGGGACAGATGGCATATAACAGTAGGATCTGGTACGACTTCTGAGAAAGGGTGCAATCTGAGAGGGCTCTATTGGGCCAAGATAGAGCTGTGGACGTTAAGGATCTCTTCAGAAAAAAACAAGGGATACCAATGGAGCTAAAGTGTAGGGAATGGAGAGATGGGGCCTGTGGAAGGCATTGGGGTATTAAGAAATGTGGGCAAAGGGGAGCCCAAGGCCCAGGAGTGGCAAGATCACAACTCCATTTTGGAAAGACCATTCTAGAAGACTAGAAGTAAGATCTAAACATACCAGTAGGCTAGAGTAAAAGGACAGGGAGGAGAATGTCTGTACTACTGGCCTATGTTTTCCAGGAAAGCCGGGAATTTGTTCAATGCTCATCTGCAGCACCAGGAACGGTGGCTGACAGATCAAAGCCCTCAGTGAGTATTTCCTGTATGAACAAAATGCATTAACATACTTAGAGTTAATGCAGAAGAGTTACTGATTCTAAAAACATAAAGTGCGGGTTTGAAACCAGCCCGGGCAACTTGGCAAGACCTCGTCTCTACAATAAATTTTTAAAAATTAGTCGGGCGTGGTAGCGCGCACCCGTAGTTCCCGCTACTTGGAAAGCTGAGGCGGAAGGATCACTGGAGCCCAGCAGGTTGAGGCTGCGGTGGCTGTGAGCATGCCACTGCACTCCAGTCTGGGTGACGCAATGAGATTCCACTCAAAAAATAAATAATAAATAAAATAAAATAAAAACAAAGTGCTGAATCTTTTTCATATCAATATAATTATTTTATTCTATTCTATTTTTTTGAGTTGGAGTCTCAATTCCATGCCCCAGGCACACGCTACAATACCCGGCTAATTTGATTTATTGTAGAGATGAGGTGTTGCCAAGTTGCCCAGGCCGGTTTCAAACCCATGGGCTCAGGTAATCCACTTGCCTCGGCCTCCCAATGCTGGGATTACAGGCTGAGCCACCAAGCCCGGCCAATTATTTTATTTTAATTAATTAATTTACTTATTTTTGAGTTAGAGTCTTACTCTGTTGCCCAGGCTGTAGTGCAGTGGCACACTCACGGCCAGTGCAGCCTCGACCTACTGGGCTCAGGAGATCCTTTGAGCTCATCCTTTCAAGTAGCTGGAACCATAGGAGTGAGCTGCCATGCCTGGCTAATTTCTTTGATTTATTGTAGAGACAAGGTCTCACCAAGTTTCCCAGGCTGGTCTCAAAGCCCTGGACTCAGGCAATGCTGCACCCAGCCTCAATACAATAATTTATTAATAGTTACAATATCAGCCTTAATATCCTCCTAAGGTTAAGATGTTTTTTGTTTGTTTTATTGAGTTGGAGTCTCACTCTATGGCCCAGGCTGGAGTGCAGTGGCACACTCACGGCGACCCCAGTGGCGATTTGCTGGGCTCTGGCAATCTTTCCGCCTCAGCCCTTCAAGCAGCCAGAACTACAGGCACATGTTACCATGCCCGGTTAAGTTTTGATTTATTGTAGTGATGAGGTCTCACCAAGTTGCCTGGGCTGGTCTTGAATCCACGGGGGCTCAGGCAATCCACTCGCCACGGCCTCCCCAAGTGCTGGGATTACAAGCTGAGCCACAGAGCCTGGTCATAAGGTATGGTTTTTTTATTTTTTATTTTTTTTTTTATTTTTATTTTTTGAGTTGGAGTCTCACTCTGCCGCCCAGACTGGAGTGCAGTGGCCGCTCCCGGCCACCGCAGCCTCGACCTGCTGGGCTCCGGCGATCCTTCTACCTCAGCCTTCCGAGTAGCCGGAATTACAGGCGCGCGCTACCAAGCTCGGCTGATTTTTTGATTTGATTTATCGTAGAGATGAGCTCTCACTGCCTAGGCGGGTCTCGAACCCGTGGGTTCAGGCAATCCACTCACCCCAGCCTCCCAAAGGCGCGGGATTACAGACTGAGCCACCGAGCCCGGCTAAGGTATGTTTTTAAAACAATCTTTTCTTGCTGGGCATAGTGGCTCAAACCTGTAAACCCAGCACGTTGGAAGGCTGAGGTGAGATGATTGGCTGAGCCCACAGGTTCGAGACCAGCCTAGGCAATATGGCGAGAACTCGTCTCTACAAGAAATAAAAAAATTAGCTGGGTGTGGTAGTGTGCACCTGTAGTTCCATATTTGGAAGGCTGAGGCGGAAGGTTCACCTGAGCCCAGCAGGTCGACGCTGGGGTGGCCGTGAGTGTACCACTGCACTCCAGCCTGGGCGACAGAGTGAGACTCCAACTCAAAACAAAACAAAACAAAAAACAATCTTTTAAAAAATATATAGAAAACAGGACTCATGTTAGAATTCCTCTTCATTAACATACAATTTGTATTATAGGTTTAGTATCCCATATTCAAAATGCTTGGAACCAGAAATGTTTTGGATTTCAGATTTCTCTGAATCTTAAAATATCTGCATTATAGACTTACTAGTTGAGTATCCCTAATGTGAAACCCGTTATGTGCAATGTTCATTGGTGCATCAGGTCAGTATTCAAAAGGTTTCAGATTGAGGAGTATTTTAGATTTTGAATTTTTTTTTTTTTGAGTTGGAGTCTCACTCTGTCACCCAGGCTGGAGTGCAGTGGCACACTCATGGCCACCCCAGTGTGGACCTGCTGCAATCCGAAGATCCTTCTGTCTCAGTCTTCCAAGTGGCTGGAACTACAGGTGCGCGCTACCACGCCCAGCTAATTTTTTATTTTTGGTAGAGCCGAGGTCTTGCCAAGTTGCCCGGGCTGGTCTTGAACCCGTGGGCTCAGGCAATCCACTTGCCTCACTCAGCCTCCCAAAGTGCTGGGATTACAGGCTGAGCCACCGAGCCCAGCCGATTTTGAGTTTTTTTTTGGTTTTGTTTTTGTTTTGTTTTGTTTTTTTGAGTTAGAGTCTCACTCTGTCGCCCCGACTGGAGTGCAGTGGCCACTCCTGGCCACCGCTGCCTCGACCTGCTGGGCTCTGGCAATCCTTCCGCCTCAGCCTTCCAAGTAGCTGGAACTACAGACGCATGCTATCACACCTGGCTAATTTTTGACTTATTGTAGAGATGAGGTCTTGCAAGTTGCCCAGGCGGGTCTTGAACCCGCGGGCTCAGGCATTCCACTCACCTCAGCCTCCCAAAGGCGCAGGGTTACAGGCTGAGCCACCGAGCCTGGCTCAATTTTGAGTTTTTAAATTAGGGATGTTCAAACTATAAATCAATTTAATAGTAGACAGAATTTACTGCTATGGAGAAAAATCAGATTGTGCTCATTTTGTTGTTTCTACAAATATATGAATATTCCCAAATGGTTTCAAGTGTATACACCTCTAATTCATCAAATGCCAGCCCAATAAATAAGAAAAAGCTTCTGGAGCATGGAAAGATGCCATTGAGTTTTCCTCATTCTGATCAAGTCTGTTTAGTTTCAACTGCTATTGAGATGCCAATAGGAATATTCATAACACTTAGTTTTCCTGCAGTTATGAAGACAACCTTAGTACTGAACTTGAGACAACTAGAAATAATATACTGAAAATAATAAGGCACAGTGAAACTTAGCCTCAAAGAAAAAAAAGAACAGACAGAATAAAAATGTTTTAGGATGGCTCACACCTGTAATTCCAGCACTTTGGGAGGCCAAGGTGGGAGGATTGCTTGAACCCAGGAATTCGAGAGCTGCCTGGATAACATAGTGAGACCTTGTCTCTACAAAAAAATTTTAAAAGTTAGCTGGGTATGGCAGTGCAAGCCTGTATTCCCAGCTGCTTATGAGGCTGAGGCTGAAGGATCACCTGAGTTGAGGTCAAGGCTGCAGTAAGCAGTGATTTGCCACTGCACTCTAGCCTGGACAACAGAGTGAGACCCCACCTCTCTCTCTCTCTCTCTCTCTATATATATATATATATATATATAGATAGATAGATAGATTTTTTTTTTAATAATCCTTCACAGCAATGATAGAACTTCTTTTAAAAAATGCTTACATGCAGGGTAAATGGCAAACCACCTTTCAAGTTAGAAGAGTAAATGGCGGTAGAAACAGGTAGTGAGTGATAACTCATGAAGTATCTTACCTCTAACTGTAAGGCATCTATTTTCTCTTCCTGGCAAGTATCCCCCTCACATTCATATTGTACTATTTTTCCATCTGTTTTACTTGCAACCAGTCGATGAACATAATTATCTAAAGAAAAGAATGAATCAATAAAAACATGTTTCTTCAAAATGAAAGGGGTCTCTATATGCTTAACTCTGATAAAATTTTTGTTTTTACAGATCTAAGTCAAATGCCTTGCAAAATTTCTTTTTTTGAGTCAGAGTCTCACGGCTACTACAGCCTTGACCTGCTGGGCTCAGGCGATCCTCCCGCCTCAGTCTTCCAAGTACCTGGAACTACAGGCACGCAGCACTACTTCCGGCTAATTTTTTGATTTATTGTAGAGATGAGGTCTCACCAAGTTACCCAGGCTGGTCTCGAACCCATAGGCTCAGTCAATCTTCTCACTTCGGCCTCCCAAAGTGCTGGGATTATAGGCATGAGCCACCATGCCCGGCCTGCAATATTTCTTTAAAAATGGGTCAAGTCATTTGAATTGTAAAGGGGAGGCAGAGGGCAAGAGTGGAAGTATTAACTTTGTGTAATGTGTGATTCAAGCCATCCCTAGGAAATAGTGCCCTCAGGGAAACTGTGAGAATCTGAGTTTGTAACAGCTGTCAGGAAGATGACATTTCAAGCAGTGAGGGAAAGTGGAAAGGCTCTGAAGGAAAAGTTTCCACATGGAATTAATCCAAATGAGAAAATGAGAATGGTGCTCACCTCCAGCATAGTCCCAGACACGATGGTTGGTGAGCTGCATGGCATACGTGTGCTGTGTTTCCTCAAAGTGCTTATAAGCATGTCGGCTCACGTAGCGTCCACACCCTATGTGGCCACATATTAAACAAATCCAAAGGTTCTGCCAGAAGGAGGTAAAATCTTAATTAGTCAAATAAAAATACACAATCTGGCCCACTGGGGTGGGAAGGGACCTAACACAGAATGAAACTTAGAATTTTTCTACAAGAGTTTTGAATAAATATATGTTTAAAATCCAATAGTCAAGAATGCTTTTATGGGTTGATCATCTTGCTCTATTTCTATGGAGCACTATGCAAATCGCAAGAACAAGATTCACAATTCATCAGTAAAGGCCTAAGTCTTTTAAAAGAATAAAGAATACAAGCATAAAGTATTTTGCTTAGGAGTAACATAATTTGTGGATTCATATGCCTTGCCTGACCCTAGACAAAAAGAAAAAAAAAAAATCAGCCTCAAAAAGAATTTCCATACCAGGCAGAAGAAAACCCCAAACAATTAAAGCTGCATTTATTGTTCTTTTCCACCAGTCATTACTTACTTCCTGAACACCACACTCAAAACACTTATTTTCTTCTACTGGCTCTGGCGTTTGACAGTATCGGCAAACAGGACACCTATCCGAGACACCAAAAGATAATGGTGCAGGTTAAATATAAAAGATAGCTGTAAAATAACCCAAAAGTCAAAAACTGGATTTTATATCTTCCCTCTCCTATATGCTATTTTTAGGCTTATGATAACTAAGGATATAGCTTAAAAGATAAGCATTTTTGTGCTATTCTCAAACAATATGAAAATATATAAAATCTTGTTAAAGCAGAGAAAAAGGGGAGAAACTGTGGTCTGCCTCATGTCCTTTTCCATTCTTTTGTCTAAGCTTAGATGATCAAAGAGCTAATTATTTACAGGTTAGAATTAGGCCTTAATTTCACGCCTGGTTATCCAAAATGCATTTTTTTACTCCAAACAATCTACCGTATCCCATTTCCCAAAGACTTATATCATTCTAAAAGTACCCTGTCCTCTCCAGGTTGCCCCTAAGAGCTGAATTTAAAATTTATATTAAATCTTACCAAATTAACAAAAAAAGGTATTAAAGTACTTCCTGAAATACACATGACATCTCACTGTATCATGAATATCATATAGAAGATACCACTGATCTACTGAGTATTGAAATTTTGATTCACAAGAGGTCAATAAAAACAACACTAAAAAAAAAAACCTTAGCTCTTTTTTATTATATTCTAGACAAAGTAATGCTAACTACTAGTTTAGATAAAGTAATACTAAGTATTAGTCATGAATACTTTAGTTGGATGGGTAACCATGACAGAAAGTGGGTTCTAGCTAAGGATGACTAAACTGGCACCAAGAAAGAATGCTAAAGATATAACTAGTAGCTGTTTGTTACCCAACTGAGTAAATAAAACCAAGGGAAGGAACTAACCAGGAAGAACCCTAAGTTCTTGTCACAGACAAGGAGGTTCTATCTGTGTTTCCTAAGACAAAAGTAAAGGATCCAATCTACCTCTTGGAGAAGTTCAGAAGACACACTAAAAGAAATAACAAAATGGTAGTTAGGAAGTGGCAAGCAGTCTTGTGAGAGGTAGAAATCAGCTTTGTGTCAACCTTTCTGTCTGTGTGATAGCTGTAAGAGTAGTTGGATAAGAAGACAGAAAACTAATTCTGAAATCTAATTATCTACATTGTCCCAGAATGCTCTTACTTGTTTTTTGTTTTTTTTTGAGTTGGAGTCTCACTCTGTCACCCAGACTGGAGTGCAGTGGCCACTCCTGACCC